GGGCTCGCCGAGCGAGGGGCTCGCTAGCCTGATCTTCGAGGCGAAGGCGACGCGGCCACCGCAGGCATTGCACCCCCGCCGGGCCACGGCCACGGCCAGCGCCACGATGGCCAGGCCACCGCCTAGCGCCTTCCCGTTCGACAGGCGGCAGGCCCCCGCCCAGCGATCAACGCCGCATTGCAGAGGGCGCTTTCCCCGCTCGCCAGCGCGCCCTGAGAGAGGGCGAGGCCGCCGCCAATAGGTCGGCGCCGGGGCTGAATCTCCCACCGGACGAGCCACCTCCAGAGCGCTGCGACATCGCAAGGGGCGGCGTCGGTGATTTTTCGGAGTGGGACTTGACAATCAGGGGCCGCTGGCGACGCGCCGACGGCATCGCCTCGCCAAAATGGCGCGCGACCGTCATCGCTGCCAGAAACCGTTGTCGGGCAGCGCATCCATTCTCTCACCGCCACTTCCTTATCGGCGATAACATGGGCATCACGCTAGAACGGAGGTGAGGGGAGCAGCCAACGCCGTCGTAAACTGTCGTCGCCGTCGTAAGCCGGCCGCCCTGGCCTCGTCGTCGCACCCGGATTTATTGCCTGATGGGGCAGCCACCCTGCGCGGGGGTGAGCATGTCTGGGTCAGCGGCGGCGGTCGCGATTCTCAGCGCGCTCGGGCGCCCTGGACTGCCGCGGGCGCCGAGGCGCGCGAAGCGCTCGGCCTTGTTGTCGAGGGCCAGGGGCGACGCCGCCGGCGGCGCCCCCGCGGGGTCCGACGACGGCCAGCGGCCAGCGAGCGGCTGGCTGCCTCGACCCGTTGGGGCCACGCGGCCACGACGTCGTCGGCGGTCAAGAGAGCGACGGCAGCGGGGGCGCCGACAGCGACGCGGGCGACGACCCACGCCGACCACCTCGGCCCGGCTTTTGCTGGCGAAGAGGCCCGCGGATAACGCAGCGGGCGGCCTGGCCCGACCTCGCCGCGCCACGCGGCCAAGGCATCGCCATGTTGGCCGCGGCGCGGAGGTTGGGGGGGCCGGAAGGTTTGGCCAGCATTTCATGGAGGTTAACCAGGTGACTAGACTTACGACAGGCACATGAAAGACTTTCAGAAGTGGACCTGCGAGAACGGGGCGCCGCTCGAGTCGGGCGGGACGTCGGCGCGACGGCGACGGAGCAGTTACTGGGGGGGGGGGGGGGCGCGCGTTTCCAGGGCCACTGCCGCGACGCTGGCAAAAGGCCGATCGCGCCCCTGGAGCACCGCGCCCCAGGCATCTGGAGCTGTCGGATGCTGGGCAGGCCCACGGCGGCCTCGACGGGCGCCAGGCGGCTCGCTCCAGGGCCGCGGGGCTCGGCCGGGCGCCGCTGCCGTGGACTGCGCTGACCTGCGGCCCAGCGAGCGCTTGGGACGGCGCGTCGAGAAGCTGGCCCCCCACGCATGGGTTCGAGCGCGCTGGGCTAATTTAATTAGACCCCGACGCTGGCCGCCGGCCCCAGAGGGGGAGGGGGCTCGCGCGTTCAAGACATGGGAGTTTGACGAGTGCGAGGGTCTGACCCTTCGACTATCCGAAGTTCTCGGCCCTCTCCAAGAAGATGGTCTGCGAGGTGGCTGGACTGGGGGGCGCTCGCCCGCGCCCCAACGCGATCCGCCGCGACGGCGCCGGCGACGACGCATCGCGCCGCGCCCGGGGCACCATGGAGATCAAGCGCCATGGGCGCCGGGCCGCAGACTCCTCGGCGAAGCGCTGCGGGGGGGCTCTCGAGTTCCTTAGTCTTCTGAGAACCTGCCCGGGGCCGTCAGGGTCAGCGGCCCCGGCGTCGGCCCCAAGCTCGCGCAGCTCGCGGCGGGCGCGCCGGCGGCCCCAGCCCCCCCAGGCGCGGCGCAAAAGATGTTGGCGGGGCGAAAGTAAATCGCGGAGCCAGGCTGCCCTTTCACGGAGAGCGCGGCAATCGCAGCGCGGGGATGGATGGGCGTCTTCTTCCTTCCCATGAGATGCGAAGGTGACTGAGTCGCGCCCGGCGCGTCCACGCAGCCGCCAGTCACGATGGAACGCCTGCGTGCGAATTTCGTTATTGTCGCCCCGCGTGGGATCCCTGATGCGCCCCCTGCAGAGCGGGCCCGCATCGCATCTGGCAATCAGACCTCGGCCCCCACTCGCGGATACATTCGCCCGGACACTCGACTTGCAATCCCGATCCTCGCTGGGAACCCTCGCGCTACGAAGGCGCGGAGGGGCTTCCCGACAGCGGCCTCGCGCGCCCACGGGCCATGCAAGTTGGTCAGCGCGAGCGCCTGAGGCCCGCGGGCGCACAAGGACACGGTTCGTCGGTCGGCGCGCCCCGCAGCTTTGCGATCCGAATGTTCGACGCTGCGGCCGCGGCGTCTGTCCTCTCGCACAGAAGCCCGACACACCGTTGAAAGGCGCGGCGCTGGGGGGCGGCAGTCAATGCACTGCTCTTGCGGCCGCCTGCCTGAGGCGTTTGCGCGGCGCTGCTGCCTTTTGCCCGCCCAGGTCTCGGGGGTAATTCCGCGGGTTCTCGGTCGGGCCTTTCAAGTGCTGCAG